CAAATAATTAAAGTCGAAGTAGTAAAAGCTGCAAATTGTCGAAGACCTCAAGTTAAACAATTCCATGATTCAAAGATTAAATTCCCATTACCTAAGAGAATACATCATAAGAATCGTATGCCACTCTTTAGCGTCCGTAAACCACGCACTTATTTCCTTTGAATTTATTTACTTACAACATTTTGTATATTGTCACTCTAAATACAAAATTCTAAACATTTTAAACTGAACATTATTATACACTAATAATTATCACCCTTGTACTTTTAATTAATTACATTTGAGAAATAACTCTTTTCTGCAATCATTGAGGAAAGAAACAAACATAACCTAAGAATTCGTAGAAATCAAATTTATTCAAAAAAGTAACGTAGTCAAATATACCGCATGAGTCATTTAGTAAACATTTGTTAAAACATGGTAAAGACGCATATGTTTGATTAAAGAGGTTAGTGTGTGCATAGTTTGTCTTTATTCATTTTCTTGTCTATATACATATGTATGTGTTTATGTTGGTGTATAAAAAATTTATAGAAATAAATGATTAAATTATTAGAATATGTAATATTATCAAAAGTACATATCTATTTATGATAAACAAGTTTTTTAATATCACGGATAGTTTTTGGTCACTTATATTACATCATGACTGTGTCATTCGCCTTAACAGTCGTTAGTAATACACGGTGACTGTTAGAAGGACGTTGCATTGTGCGCAGGTTATGCCATATTAGTCAATTTTATAATGTAATTTGTATTGTCCAAATTTATATATAAAGGTTTGTTAAATAAGCATAATAATAAGAAATTCAAAATGTATTTGAAATTTCACTTGACAATTTAATCAACACGATTATGTAAATAAGAAATAAACGAATAATAATAATAATAACATGTATTGTTCGTTTGTTATATGACATCTACATATGTTTTATATTTGTTATTATATTTAATATTTAACTACTAGATATTTAATTATATATATATTTATTATTTTCAATATAAGTTTAGTTGAGATATAAGTTTCGACAATATTTTCTTCAATGATATTCTACAGGTTATTGTGAATATTTAAAAGTTAATTGTCAGTGAATTTTCAGATTTATAAGTAATGGGACAATCTCAGGACAGTAATTCAACTCCTCGTGTGCTATACGACGAGACAGGTGACAATGGATATATTCTTGGTAACAAATACATTCCGGAGGAGTTGTTAGCTGAATTTCTTTGTCACGTTGACAACACGACACTTTTAAATTGTCAATTGGTTTGTCAACGTTGGAAAAATTTAATACTCAATTATGTTTGGCGTAAGAAAGCTGAGATGACGTTAACTCGTCCGCATACATTGGATACAGATATGCCTTGGAAAGCTTATTACTTGATAGCTAAGAAAAAACCTTTCGAAAGAAATTTAATAAAAAATCATTCAGGAGAATATGGTGTACAGAAGCATTGGAAAATCTTGACGGATGGTGGTGATCATTGGATAGTTGAAAATCCACCAAAGGGTGTTCCACCTCTACCAAAAAACGAACCCGTTTTTGAAAAAAAAGAACATTGCTTCGTAACATCTTACTATAATTGTTTCAAAATTCAAACGATAGATTTAGAAGCTGAGGGATTAACGTCCTACGTCTTGGATGTTTTGCAACCTACTATAGTGGTAACAAATTTTAAAATTAAAAGATTTTATTTATCTGACACAAGAGATTAATTTAATTTAGCAAAAACTTTTCTTTAGGTAAGCGAATGGTATAGTTGTAGATGGGATTGTCCAGCTCATTATGAATGTACAGTCGAATTAATAGGAAGTGATAACAAAATGATGGATACATTCCAATTCCATGACGATATCGAAGGAGATAAACAAAATCAATGGTTACATGTTAGTCTTTCCATTTTCTTTAATAACTGTACAATAATATTTGTTAAGTATTAATTATCATTCATATACTTTTTTATTAAATAGGTCAGTCACGAATTTAAAGATTATGGGCCTGGTCTTAAAAAAATTAGTTTTTATCACGGAGGAATGGATAAATCATTTTGGGCTGGTCATTACGGTAGTAAAATGGCTGGGGCTTGTGTTATCGTTAAAATACCTAAAAATGATGAACATCGATGTGACGACGATGATGACGATGATACAGATACGAATACGGATACAGATTCGGATACAAATAAAACCTCTAATACGGAATAATAAAGGAAGAACTAAATACATAATATTATATAACTATATATGAAGTATTTTTATCAACAACAAGCATTATTATTATGAGCATACATAAAATATTATTATTCTATCCAATTTGAAACGGAGCTCTTACAGTATATGCATTTCTGTCTCTATTTGGCTCTGTATTTTGATTTGTAAGTATTTTTTATTAGAAAACATGTTATTTATAGGGGGGGGGGGAAAGGAAACAAAATTTCATCCCTTTCGCTTGAATCGAAAATAGAAATAAATTTTTTCTAAGATAACTCCTCTTAAATGAAAAGTTGAATTAATTTATTTGTTTATTTTGTCAAGAATAAAAATAAAATATATATTAATAAGCTGTTACAATATCGCATAAAAAGGTAATAAGCATTAAAGCGGCTGAAATAACTTATTAAATTTTATTAGAACATTTAAAGAATTTATATGAATGTAACTTATATAAAACAAAGTTAACATTATATCGTACAATTATAATAAGATGGTGTTGAAAGTTTACACAGTTCTCGTTCGCGCACCTCATTTTTATATAAATAATATTATAAAGATAAAAAAAATGTTTTTAAAAATTTTGTATATATGTACAAAGCAAATAGTTTGTATATATATACAAAGATGCAAATAAAAAGTATCTGTGTTTTGTATATTTTGTATACGCTCACATACGTGTCCATTCTGTTATTTAATATTTTATTCCACTGCCTTTGTATTACGCGCAATGCAATAATATTCATGGAAAACGAATAAAAAAAAAAAAAGAAGAAGAAATATGATAAATTTATTTTTATATAAACTTACTGTTGTATAAAACTACAATTAATTTAATTTAAATGCTATTTCAACTAAATTCTGTGGCGCGGAATCCTGATAACATACATACAATTCTTTAGGATGCGGAGTCGTATATAATCGTCCTACGACCCAATACGTCGTATTTTCCCATTCAAAAAGAATACCGTGTTCTTTAATGGCAATTAAACTTTTGTTTATCACAGTTTTATCCATATCTTGATTAAGCATTGTTTTAAAACGTATCGTGTTGTTTAACAGTTTATGTATCATATGCACACATTTATTAAAATTTATTAAAATTTTATTGTCTTTTGATGAGGTATCGATCGGATGTGAAGACAATAAAATACCCTCAGTTATATCCAAATGTATGTAATGATATAAATAATTTTTTTCTCCTGCAGTTAATTTGTTTGGCATTAAATATTCGACTTGATTCAACAAATTATCCCGTATATTGGATATATCGTTGTTCATTACTTGACTTTCGTTCTGAAAGAAAATATTAAATTTTTATGTTTATACACATGTTTCTCGTAGAGTTTTTTTTTTTTTTCTATAGGAAATAAAATCTATTCACCCTGTAAATATCTATATCTGAATCGCTATCGTCAGAATATTTAGATCCGCTACTAATTTTTTCTCTAATCGCTCGTCTTCCTAATATTGGCATTGCCTCGTCGCTAACTTCGCTTATCGCACCGGTTCCTTGACTTAACGAATCTTCTGACGTTTGCAAAGAATAAACTGAAAATATTGTTATTAATTATAAACGAAACTAATTGCAATATTAATTATAGATAATATTTACCCGATCCCAAAACCGTTGGACTTTCTTCTAAGTTGCGTTTCTTTAAAATGGAAGCCAATTCTTGGGTTTTTTTATTAGCAGAAGTATTAAGATTTGGTTTAGATATTACGTTTTGTACGTCAGATGATTTAATAAACCCTAACAAATTTTCTGTTATGCTGGACGATTGTTTAGATAATATATTGTCTTCGTAAGGGATCACTTCTGGTCTGGCATTAGATGTGATCCATTTAGCAGCTAACGTTGTTATTCCAATTTTTTGTATATGTTTTAGAGTTTCTTGAGCTTCTTCTACATAAAACACATCTGGTCCTGTAGTATCGTCGTACCTAAATTTATTTATTATTATTTTAATCAAAGATTATTAAAAACGTTAACGCATAATATAATTCTATTCTTACTTTGCTGTGCAACCACCAGATTCTAAAAGAACTGCTAACAAATCGTGTTCGTAACCGACAATAAGTAAAAACCATTTTCCATTTGGAACTAATGGTTGATTAGAATTATGTTTATCGATATTTCCTCTATTACAAGATAATGGATAAACTCTTTTCCATATAACAAGAGATTTAACAGGTTCCGTATTAACTAAATTCAGTAAACCATTTTGTCGTAAAAATGCGTGGGTTTCAATTAAATCTTCATGAGATAAATGAGATCCCAAGAGATAACATTTATGGTATATGCAACTACCAAGTATTGTATACAATCTTTGACAATCCATAGGATCTTCATTCTACATGATATACAAAATAATAATAATTATTATTATTATTAATAAATAAGATATACTCAAAAAAAAAAAAAAAGATATATATACCCAATCTCTATAATCCATAGCTTCCATTTCATTTAACGCAGCATCAATTTGTATTTGAGCATCTCTTGGCAAATGAACAAAATGTGCTACTGAAAAACTACTTTTGAATTTATAATTTTCAAGATTCCTTGTACAATATTGCAAATCTATTTCACTCTTCGAACTGTTAGTATTATCTTCAGCATTCTTTATATTCAATAATCTTTGCATAATTAGAAATATAAAATGATCTATGCTATCATGATTTTCTTGATTTGTGAAACATTTCGTTAACGATTGATAGGTAAATTCTAAAGTTTTAACAATATCTGCAGATATCATACAAGCTTCTTCGAGACTACAACTGAGAAATATTTCATAAGTTTTATAAAGAAGTATTATTTTCTAAATGATAGATAAATTTTGGTTATTCATATTTACCATTTATCTGGCAATGCAATTAACAATAATTCTTCTTTGCAAGGTGTATATACAATATGCATTTCTTCTCCCGCTAAATGTACAGTTGTACTAAACCAACAAAAATAATAATTATTATAATTATAAATATTATATATAAAAATTAGTAAAAAAGAATTTACCTGACTGGTTGTACACCAACTATTTCTGGTAACAAATGATTTAAAGTTATAAAAGCACCTCTTGCTGAACATAAATTAGAATGTACATTATCAGATCTTGGAAAGGAATATAAAACACCTTGTAATTCTTGACCCGTTTCTGAAAGATCCGTAGTACATAAATAAATAATTCCAAATGGATGAGTCAATAAACTTTCCATTAAATGCGTGCTCTCTCCTTTATTAACAATATTTTGCACTAATGTTGATTGCTAAAAATACAAATATTATATATTAAATTTATAAATATTACTATATGCAATTTATAAATTATAAAATACAGTTATAAACCTTTACTGTATTTATCCCAGGCACTTTTTCGGTAACGTCAATCCCTGCTACTCTTTGAAGTTCTAACGTTACCTATATAAATAAATGTATATTATATTAGGTATAATTTAATTATTATAAGAGAATATTAACTTATAATATATCGATAATAATATAACAAGAATTTTTATGCTCACATTAGTTGGAGTAGTTATTTCGGATAATACATAATCCAAGTTTTGGAATGTAACATTGTTCGAATTAATACTTTTCAACCAATCACCAATTTTAATATTTTTATTTTTTATAGCTTCCCCATCAGGTATAAATCCAGCAACCATTACTCTAACTTTATCCGAGAAAGTACCAGGTGTTATACCAAAATACGCTTCACACAACGTTGCTCTACGTCCTAATTTATGTCTTTTTTCAGGATCAACCCACAAAGTAACTTCACGGATTTCACCTGCCTACAAAAAATGTATTTATTTTATTTATGTTATATATATATTTTATATTTTATATTTTATCCTTATTCTTATACAGGGTATCTGAAAAAGGTCTTTAAACCTCAGATACTTCAGATAGAAATTTAATTATTATATAAATACCTGAAAATCTCTAAAAGTAACTTCCTTATTTCCATTTCCTTCCTTTTCTTGAGTTCCTCTGTTATTACCAATTGGATTAGTATTACTTTTCTTATTTCTTGTACTCCACCTTTTACTATCCTTACGTCTCAACAAACGCATAAGTTTACCAGCTCTGGTACTACGTCTTCTAGTTAATTCCGGTTGTGGACTTTTTCTTGAATCATCACAGGATGTATTAGCACTCGATAAAGTTTCTACTGGAGATTCTATGTAAAAAACTTCACCATTCGGTCCGATTTCTGATTCCCATTCAATAATAGAGCTAAATTTAAAAATATACACATTCAAATAATCATTTATTTTAATACATTCAATATATTTTAATGAACATTTGATTTATTTTTCTAATACCTGTCAGTGTCAGAATAATATGAACCTGTACTTGATCCGCTGTCACTTGCCCACCAATTGTGTTCGTTATCATCTTGTTTAATATTTTCTAAATGACTTGTTTGATCGGGCTTTAATAACAACGTTTTACTTTCAGCATCGTTCATTTTTATACAAAATATTTGTTATATTTATTCTAATATGCATACAATTAATTAATCCATCAAAATATTAAAAATATATTTCACATATCATGTATGTATGTATAAATATATATATATATATGTATATATGTATATGTATTTATCAATTTTAATTGTAATAATTATATAATTGAAAGTACATTTACGTTTCAAATAGATTATTATAATTTCCTGCTTTGTTCTACCATGTTACACCTGTTGGTATTTATATGTCTGTAAAGGTTGGGTCAATCTGACTACCTGAATCCAATGGTGTAGGAAAAAAGGGATCAACGATATTGCTTTTTTTTTTTTTTAACCATGTAAGTAACATATTGTACGAATACAAATGCAATTGCATATATACACACATACTATAAATAGTAAAGAAAAATAATTTATTATTTCAAATATGTTCTTTTTTTATGTTACACTATTTAAAAGTCATGATAATATTTCTTAAAGTATTAAATAATCGTATAATTAAATACATCTAATAGGTTTATAGTAGGATAGAAATGAATGAAAGACGTCGAACAAATACTGTTATATGTGCACAAGTAAACTAAGAATGCACATTCCAAAGATTTTATACGATTATTAATTAAAAAGTTAAAAATTTACTTTTTATTAAAAATAAAAATAAAGTAGGATATTTAGAAAAGAAATAAAAACATAAAAATTCACAAGTTTTTATCATTTTCTTTCGTTCAAACAAAAACTTCTCTTATTCGAGTGTTCAGTTATTAATGCTGCAAGTCTGCCAAAGTTGTAGATAAACAATGGTAAAAAAAAATAGTACAGGGCATGAACAGTTAATGGGGATAATTGTACCTAATTAGAAAATATTTTCAATATCAAAAATATATAATATTTCCTTCTATCTAATCGATTGTTTTAATTTAGATGGTATAGATTTGATATCACTAAAATCTTTCTTCTTATGTGGATCAGGTAGAAAACATTTCCATAATCTCAATGTTTCATCAGCACCTGCACTAAGAACTGTAGTACCATCTGGAGACATTGCTAAATGTAATACGCGACTCGAATGTCCAGTTAATTCAGCAACTTTAGTCATTCCTGGATATTTCCATATTGTTAATTGATTTTGAGCATATCCATGACCAGAGATTATTTCTTTGTACGTCGAAGACCAAAGCAATGAGCATACTTGGGATTTTGTATCTACGCTATTCAAACAGGCTCCTATATTGAAAATAAAATTAATAAATTAGATGAAAATAATTTATGATATTCCAATTAACTTAGTAAACAAATCGAATTCTATATATTTACCTGTATTACAATTCCAAAATCTAATCATTCTATCTGCAGTACCACCACCACTAGCCAAAATATTATTTTGCCAAGGACACCATGCAAGTGCTTTCACTGCAGCTTGATGTTGATTCATTGAATAAATGGGTTGAGTTTGAGAATGATTGTGTCCTGAAACTACTGGCCATATATTAAGCACGTTATCATTGCCACCACTAGCTAAATATTTTCCATCCGGAGACCATTTCAAACCGCATACTTCTTGAGTGTGTGCACTTATACAGGATATTAAATGTTGACGTTGTCTGACATCATGATGTGCTATTTGTCCTCCTCTGAAAAAAGAAAAAAAGAAAAATAAGAAAATATTAGATCTAATATCAAATAAACTTGATAAATTAAATATCTTTGAAATATTCATCAAATTACCTGCAACCACTTGATAAAATGTGAGAATTCCAAGCAAGTGAACCAACTCTTGCAGCATGACCATTCATTACACGTACTCTTTTAATTTCACTGCAATCCCATAATTCTGTATTACCTACTGTAGTTCCAACTGCTAAATATGGACCTTCCTGAATCCATGCTACAGAACATACGTAATCGTTGCTTTCTAATTCAAATAATTGAGCTATAGTGCCAGTTCCAGCATCCCATAAATATACACTATTACCCAAAGCTACAGCCAAAACATTACTTTCTGACCAATCAATAAGATTTAAATCTGCAAATAGAAATAACATAAATGTATAAAATTTAAATCATCATCTATACATCTATACATACAGGGTACAGGCACATAATGCTATTGCATAAATTTAATTATATACTTACAATAGTCATCAATAATATCTGGTGCATCCAATATTCGATCAGGAGTTTGTGGAATATACCTTATGGAAGCTTTAACGCTAGCTGGTGTTTTTGTTTGACTATAAACAACTCTTAAAGGATTCTGATATCCTTCGGGTGGAGCTGGCGCTTTATTTTGATACGACAGAACTCTCATATTTTTAATATCACCACCATGTAAATTTTCTCCTATCAAACGTTGCATTTCCTTTTTCGAAGGACTTATGTTATCTCCTTTCTCACCATCCTGGTCCGTTTGTTGTTGTTGCTGAATCTTAATAAAAAAAAAAAAAAGAAAATAATTTAACTTATAGATTTTATTTTTAATTGAAATAAATTAGAAAAACATGTGATAAAGATTTTAATTCTTTTTCATATATATATATATATATAATGAAAAACGTAATTATTAAATTAAACATTAGCATCCTTGAAGAGTTGATTTATATAAAAAGGAAAAATACCTTATAATAGCCTAAATCAAAATTTGTTGTCGCTCTGTTAGGAATGAATCTATCTCCACCATTGGGTGTATTGATGTTACGACCTGATATCAATTTTAAAAATATATATAATAATTAATTTTCACAATAATAATAATAATAATAATAATAATAATAATAATAATAATAATAATAATAATAATAATAATAGAATAAAATTATCATTGAAAAGTCTTACACACCTGGAGATTTTTTATTTACTTTAGATGGTGTCTTTTTATTTTTGGAATCATTCTTTTTCGTTGGTGTCTTTCCAACAGTCGTATTCATAAAAGATCCAGACATAGCTTTGAGTGATGAGTTAATACTAATATTACTGTAAAAAATATAAATAACAATATGATAACAATCAAATATTTTATCTTAATTAAATAAAACTATAAGATAATTATAAAGGATCTGGCTGGTGCATTACCTTGTATTTGGAATATCTGATGATTTTCTTTGCCAACGTGGTACTGGTCCTTTTATAGCTTCGTCCATTCGAGTTATGCTATTTAATTCTTTCATATATTTTAAATTCGACATGATTATAATAAATTATTCGTGTAACAGTAATAATATTAATAATTATAAAATAAGTTTTACACTGAACAATTGTACGATCATTCACAAACAATTCGATAACGAGGCAAATCTTTTTTCAAATTTCTTTTACGAAAATAATGAAATTAAATGAAGTTACAAGGATAATTTTTGTTTATCAACGTAATTACTTTTTAAAAAAGAAACAATATAAAGTAATTATTACATTAAGTATAAAATAAATATATCTTTAACACAGTATTACTGAAGCATTCCTGAGTCTACTATACGTCATTTGAACGGACGAAACATCTGAATAACTTCGAGCGACCGTTGTAATTTTGAATTTAATTCGTGTTTCCTTCGATAAGAGGGCGCTTTTAATCCATTGATTACTTTTCAAGAGAATTTCCATCGATAATATTTTTATTATTTTTATTTAAATAAATATAATTATCCCATATAATCTGAAAAATAAATAGATTGCATAAATAATTAGAAATACATATTTAAAATTTAAACAAAATTTAATCTATTTAATTGTTTTATTTTAGGTACTCTGATTGGTCCGACGATAACTGAACCGACCAATCAATTTTGAACTACGATTCGCCATTTTGTTTCAGTTTAAAATATAATATGATCAAAAGTTCATCTTCTCGACGTACAAGATGAATAATTGGTATGAAATTTTAATATTAAAAGTGAAAATATATAAATATTTTGAAAAATTATTCTTATATTAATCATCTTAATAATTTTTTCTTGTATATTAATCAATATTTAAAAAAGAACAATGAAAAAACGAATGACCTAATAAAACAATTTTATATTGCAGGATAGAGAAAGAAAAATGATCTCACTGATGGAAATTAAAATGAATGGTAGGTAATGCAATATACCTTATTTCATGTTAACCTTACTTATATCGATTTTTCAATGTTTGTTATTAGTATATTACGCAGCTGATAAGAAGAAAGAGAAGGGTTAAAAGGGATCGAAATGGTAGTTCATGCGACGTGCGCCGTAGTAAGTTGGATCATCGCGTCATAGGTGTAGCAAAAAGAGAGAGAGAGAGAGAAAGAGAAAGACGTAGAGACATGCAAAAAAAGAAAGGTTGAAGGTCGTGATGGTGTTCGGCAAAAATTCTCTTATCAAGTTTTAAAAGCTTGCAAAGTTCATTCAAATTAATTTGAAAGATTTGCACTTATTCTTGCAACTTTCATTTTTATTCTTTTTTTCGTTCTCTCTTTCTCTATCTATCTATCTATTTATCTACCTATTTTGTGTATTTACATATTAATTACGTTTTTCTCTGTCTTTCTCATTGATTCAACCCCAAAGTAAATTTAAACGTTCTTCGAAAAGTCAAATTGAGTTTAACGCTGGATATTTCGATGTCTCCGTGTTCAAATCAGTTATCTTTTTTATTATTATTATTCAATTCTATCAATGATCTTTTATTAATAATTTTAAACGAAATATTAAGGTTATATTGGATAAATTCGAATACAGGCGCGTACAATTTAACATTCCATTGGTATTGTCAATTAAACGCCGCAAGGCTAACCAACATGGTGGCAGGGGAATCAAAAATCGTTCTTCCATCGTACGGTGGATAATGAGAGGACTTTATTATCAAGAAATTCGAAAAATCTCAAGTGACCTGACATATTATTTACCAAAGGACAACTACAATGCACGGTTAAATTATTTGTTCCGATTGGAAGGAGGGAAAGTTTAATAATGTCCAATGTACAAATAACGAAAAGAAAAGGTTAAACTGACTGCTACTACTGCTGCTGCTGCTGCTGCTGCTGCTGCAAGAGAAAGAGAGAAAAATAAAAAGAGAAAGTAAGAAAGAAAGAGAGAGACAGACAGATAGTTAGACTTGGCAACGTAACAACTGATCAACCCGCCCCTTAAACTCAAGTTTGAATCTTTTAACGGTCACGCAAGTAAGTATCAAGCGTCTTTCTTGATTTATAATCTTACTTATCTTAGTTTCGTTGACGATCGTTTATTACTCTTATAATGGTGTATTGAAATCGTCATCGATGTTATTAGATTCATACTAATCTATATTAATATGCGTGGGTCGTTAAAATCCAGTTTACCTTTGATATCACCCACTCTAACCTTTTCCGCATGTTTACTCATACTTGGATGCTAGAATTAGTTAACATACTGTTGTTCTTTTTTTTATTCTTCAATTAATTACGCATCTCATCGTACAGGTTCGTCCATACGCTATTTATTTTCTGGACGTTCAATTATCTTATTCAGGATGGAAGTTAATGACGGTGTCTTGGTTTGCGCTGCTGAAATTATTAAAGGTATCAATCAATGTTACTTTTATATTATTTTTATCTTAATTCATTTATTTTTAATATATTTTTTTTCCTTTTTTTATTAATTAATACTTTACGCGCTCCTTTTTGTATTATTTTTTTTTTTTTTTAATTACGTATCCTTTATTTATTGAATCTTATTATTTATGCTTTTAATTACTTACATTGTTATTTATGTTTAGATCGATTGTACTTTGCAACATTAGATACAACAGTGAAACCCAAAAGTACGACCAACACGCATTACTTCAGCATCGATGATGAATTAGTTTATGAGAATTTTTATGCTGACTTTGGTCCATTAAATTTGGCCATGTTGTATCAGTATTGTCAAAAAGTTAATAAAAAACTCAAAGCAGTGATACTGTGTAGAAAGAAAATTGTACATTATACTACAATGCATCCAGAAAAAAGAGTTAATGCTGCATTCCTGATAGGAAGTTACGCTGTAAGAACATAATCATGATAGTTTAGTATTATATATATCGTTAATATGTAAATATTATATATTTATAGTTATGTAATTTCATTTGATTTATTTCAGATACTGTATTGCAAACGTACAGTGGAAGAAGTTTTTGATTGTTTGACCAATTGTCCTAACAGTCCACCATTTATAATGTTCCGTGATGCCTCGGTTGGTTCTCCATGTTATAAAATATCTTTATACGAGTGTTTAAGTGCTATCGATAAGTGCCATCGACTTGGTTTCTTCAATTTCAAAGATTTTCGTGTTAAGGAATATGAACATTTTGAAAGGGTTGAGAACGGTGATTTAAATTGGATTGTTCCGGGAAAGTTCATCGCTTTTTGTGGACCGCATGCTAAATCTAAAATTGAGAATGGTACATAATTAATAAAAATATATTCTATAATCTTTATATAGAAAATATAATCATTTTAAATACCAAATTTGATTTTCAGGGTATCCGTTGCATGCACCAGAATCATATTTCGATTATTTCAGACGTAATAATGTCTCTACAATTGTACGACTTAATACTAAAATCTATGATGCATCAAGTTTCACAGATGCTGGCTTCGAACACAAAGATCTTTTCTTCATGGATGGTTCAACACCAACAGATGCGATAATGCGTCAATTTCTAAAAATTTCTGAAAATGCTAGTGGTGCTGTAGCTGTACATTGCAAAGCAGGACTTGGTAGAACTGGTTCACTGATAGGCTGTTATATTATGAAACATTATCATTTAACTGCTCATGAAACAATAGCATGGATTAGAATATGCAGGCCAGGTTCTGTTATTGGACATCAACAGCAATGGCTAGAAAAGTGAATATTTTTTTACTGAAATGTTTTTATGACTCTTGGTATACGAAACAGTTGATGTTTTCATACATCAGATTTGTTAATAGTACATTTTCATTGGATTAAAGGTAACATTTTTTTTTTTATCCTTTAGAAAAGAAGCACTTCTTCACTCGTTGCTGAAAGAACCTCTACAATCTGATAATAGAAATCCAGTGCATAAATATGGTATATATTCAATAATGGGAAGACCTAAGACTTCATTTTTATTAAATCCGAACAATAATCGTGTCATACAAGATAATGTTTCTGGAATAATGCATAGAGTTGATGGAATCAAATTGGATGATTCTACTCCTATAGCAACTCTTAAAACAGCTAGTAGACATCCATCCTCGACGTTAACACAAGGTGACAAATTAAATCAAATTAAAGCTAAGAGAAGAAGGTTACGTATAAATCAATCTTCTCTGGGCACTCCTACTGGATCATCGACAGTTGTTCAGTAAGTGTATTTATTTAAATATAAAATTGGATAATTATTTGTGTTATATAATGCTAACAAATATTTAATACAAATAATTATCAGTCCATATCTAGGACCATTACTTCAAACTAGAAATCAAAAAGGAGCAGCTATAGCTACATTAGCTGGAAATAAAGAGAAAGGTCCTTTAAAAAGTTTACTTGCACGGTCGACAACAACAACGACAGTTGTCAAAAGGTCGGATTATCTGACTTTATTGTTATTCCCATTTATGTTATTTTATTATTATTTTTTAGATTACTTTATTCCCATGACTACCCTGTGCCTTGGAGATCCAAATAACACACTTCAAATAATATTAATATAGAAAATGCAATATTAATATATAAAAGTACTTTATAATAATTATATTTAAGTAATCTTTCTATATTCTATAGAAATTGTAAAAATGGAGGTTGGCTGACGATCAACAACAGCTACGATCCATCAACCCGCCGAGTTAGAACTAAACCAACAACACAGATTCATAGTATCAACAACAATACAACTACTACACCTTCTTTATCTATATCCAAACCGGTAACTAAGGCGAGTATAAGAAGTTCGTGCATATCAGAGGCCCGTGCTACAAACTCGTCTACAAATCATTCAGTTGCACAACCACAACCAGGCATGAATATGATTCTTAGGTCAGCAGACCGTGTTACCCGCTATCATTCTCTAAGGCAGTAAGTTTCAATTAACTGTTACTTTCCAAAATTATTACAAAGTAATAGTTTTATACTTTTTCTATTTTCTACTTTGTTGGATATCTTCGTGTCTCTTGACGAGATGCATCAGGAATCCTTTTTATTTCTTATTCGTTTTCAAACTTTTACTTATGCTTGCTTATTTATCATTCCCTTCATGCATTTAATATTCTGCTTTCATTTACTAACAAGAACTACTATCCAATATTAAAAAGCATGCATTTAAAAAATATACATACAATATACTGTGTATAGCTAGCTTATAGTTGCAGTGAATTTTTTGTTATTTAGTTTCAGAATTATTCCATTTATAATCAGTCTATTTTCACGAAGAAAAGTTGAAAAGGAAAAAATGTAGGAAATCAAAATAAAAAGAGAAAGGCAAAAAAAAAGAAAAAGAAAAAAAGCACAATAAAAAAA